AATCTGATTTCTACTATGGCTGCAACTCTCATCAGTTTCACCCATCCAGTGAACCCTCATGACGGGTTCACGACATAAGTACTCATTATTTAGAGGATAAAATTGATAAGTTAACTAATATGGTTCAATCTCTCATTGTAGGTAAAGCGGGACCAGCAAGGTTATGTGGAATCTACACGATGTTGGATTATCCCACAAACTGTTGTTCAATGTTTCAAGAAGATACTACAGCTCGTGTGGATGCAGTGGGAAATTTTTCGAGAGCTCCCCAGAGATTTTATAATCCTCATGCCAACACCTATAATCCGAGGTATAAAGATCATCCGAATTACAATTATGGACAGAATCTGAAACCGAATCAAACATATCAACTGAGACCACCTCCACCTTAACAATATCAATCGCAAAAATCATCCTTAGAGTTGATTTTTGAATGTTTGGCGATATCCCAAGAGAAATTTCAAGTTAGGAATGAAGCTCATTTTCAAAAGCTCGACAAGTAGATGAGTCAACTAGCTCATTTTCTAATACGCCATCTTCTATGCCATATCCCTATGTCGTTCCACCTTATTTTCTGTCGAGACTAGTTAAGCGCGATAAAGAAGCCGAAGAAAAAGAAATACTTGATGTATTTCAGAAAGTTGAGATAAATATAACCCTCCTTGATGTTATCAAAAAGTTTTCACGGTATGCTAGATTTTTAAGGATCTTTACATAAATAAAAGAAAACTTACCAGGAATGAAAAGGTAAAATTAGGTGAAAATATTTTTGTTTTCTTTCAACGTAAAATTCCACCCAAGTACAAGGATCAAGGTATGTTTGTTATTCCTTGTAAAATTGGTAAAATATGTATAAAACGAGCTACGTGTGATTTGGGTGCTTCAATAAATATTATGCCTCTTTTTGATATATAACTTACTTAGTGCTAAGCCTTTGAAGGCAGGTGTAACAATCCAGCTCGTTGATAGATACGTGGTGTATCCTAAAGGAGTTCTTGAAAATGTGTTGGTAAAGGTAAATGATTTATTTTTTCAACAGGTTTGTACGTAATTGACATGGAAGATGATCGTTCTAATAACTCTTCAGAAATTCTACTTGGAAGACCCTTCCTAAGCACGACTAACACTAAAATTGACGTTATAAGAGAAACACTTACCATAGAATTTGATGGTGAAGTGGTAAAATTTGATGTTTACGAAGCGATGAAACATCCTGACTCTATAACTGATGTTAGTTTTGTCGATATAATTAAACCTTCTATGAATGAATATGTTGATCATGATTTTTTTGATGAGTTGTACAAGAATTCGAAGGTTGGAACTGATACAACTTCTAACGTTGACTCACAGTTATCTGAAGAAAAGTTGAGGAAGAATTTAAATTTGATGTCTTCTCAATCTAAGTTTTTTTTATCTATTTTCTAGGCATTAAAGTTGGAATTAAATTCGCTTCCAAAACATTTAAAGAACACATTTTTGGGTGAAGTAGATAATTTATCAATTTCGGATAAACTTCCAAAGATGAAAAAAATCTGAAGAAAAGTCTTTGAGAATGAAAAAATATACAAGGATAAAAGGAAAAAAATTATTTGATCATAGAATTTCTCATAAGAAATTTCTTCAATGGAAAAAAGTGTATGAAGTGGAGGAAGTATCTATTGCGGAACCTATAATCTGAATCAGATCGTCGAGCTAACGACGTTAAACAAAAGCACTTTAATGAGAGAGAACCCATTTTATTATTATTTTTATTTAATTTTTTATTTTTTATTTTTTATTTTTTTGTATTTATTTTTCTTTATATATTTTTAGGTACACCAAGTATTTTTTGATCGTTCAAAATTATGGACACAACATTGATTCGAATAAAGGTCAATATTCCTATACCACCGGAAAGCCCACCAACGCTAGACATGGGGAGTATTTCTATCCCTTCTCCTTTACTTTATTTATTTCGTATTGGGATAATACTCTTTAAATAAGGGGTAGAGTGAAAATTTCACCTCATTTATTCATGTTGGTTTGATGAGATATCTCGATTCTTATGATTATTGATTACCTTGGTGGACTTGTTCATGATCCTTTGTTTTCAAGCTTGAGTTGATCTTGTTATGCATGAATAATTGAGTTGAATTGATGAAATAATTTGATGAAAGCTTTTAACCTTATGGCATAATTGTTAGTGCTTCTTAAATATGAGTTTGTGTTTGTTTTGCTAGTGATTGATGTTATCTTCAAGTGTGTAACTTTGTGAGGCGAATGTGAGTGGTAGATCGTTTGAATGTGATTGGATTGGAGAATCGGGACGAGGTTCTTGGGTTGTCATCTCGTTTCTATTTAAAGATTCGATAACGAAGTCGAGACTATAGAGTTAAAAAAATAAAGAGAAGCGCAAAAAGGAAGAAATTAAAAAAAAAAGAAAAAGGAGAAAAAACAAAAAAAATGAAAGGGAAAATAAACGCTTGAAAAAAAAAGAGCGAGTGATCCAAAAGGGGAGGAAAATAAAACTCACTCTCCGCCAATCACTTATCATGAGGAAACTAAACTTGGTTTGAATTCGTCTCACAAGAAAATAACAAAAGCTCTACATATCTATCTCTTGTTCATTTGGTTAATTGTTGTTTATTAGATTATCTTGCACATTTGTTTGATTATCTTGTCTAACTTCTTCAATCCATGCATGTACTTGGGATTTTACATAAACCTTCGAGAGAATCTTTGGTGAATGATGGAAATTGGAATTGATGTATGCTTGAGAACAAGCATGAATAAGTGAGGGGAATTTGATGAGAGTTTAACATTACATATTTTTATTATTATTAACCAATCATTTATCGCTTTGATATTACTGATTTATCTTCTTCTTCTTTTGAGTTTATTTTGGACAGGAACTTCATTGGATTAATTAGCCTAAAAACTAGTAGATTTTGTTGGTCAATTCAGCATCTTATAGAAGACAAGCAGAACTTCCTTGAATATTTAATTTGGAATTTACCTGGGACAGTTATCCAGAAGATAAAGAAGAATTCAACCAAAAGACTTAAATATTTGTCTTTTGTGATAAATCTTTTTAATTTAGGATTTTTAGTTTGATTATTCTATTATTATTTTATTTAAGAATTAGTTATTTTATTATAACTCTTATTAGGATTTTTAGTTTGATTGTTTTAGGAATGAGTTATTTTATTTGCTTAAAACTCTCGAGTTATAAATACCCCTTAAGTTCAACAGTTGAAACTCATATTGGAATTTATTTTCCTTGGTTATTTATTGAAGTTCTATTTTTCTTTCATCTTCATCTTCATCTTTCATTCTTTATTTGCTTTCATTATTTTCTTTTCACAATACTAAGCATGATCCAATCCATGCTTGGCTAAACTTCTACTTAGCCAAAGGTTTTAGCGAAACTCAATTCCATTCGTGAGAATTGAATTTTGATCTTCATACCTTCAGATCGTATTCTTGATTCTCTGGAAACTGCAAGTGGCAATCAGTCATTCTCTTAAAAGTTATTACATGTTCAACTCAAAAGGTGCACGTTGATTTGAAGACTGTTTTGCTTGAAGTTTGGAAGTAGGATCGGTTGGTCATAATTCGACTTCCTATGAACAAACTTAGCGGCGGTCCGTTAAGGGCAATCAAGATCGAGTTCAATTCTCGTTGCGACACTATAACTCGAGTCGGTCTTTTCCAGAATTTAAAGTCATTTTGGATCTAATGGCGATAAACGTGGCTAGACCAACAAAGATCGAATTACAGAGATAGACTTGGAAATTTCGATTAAACAGATAAGAGTTAGTTGCAGGGGTTAGGACTTGTTGACTATAACCGACATACATCACGAAAGGAAAATTTTATTTCGATGATCGATCAAAATTGAGACTAAGCAAAACCTGAGGCTATATCATATTTATTGAATTCTTCTAATTTATTTATTTTCTCATTATTATTTTTTATTCAATATTTATTTATTTATTTTATTCATTTATTTTCATTAATTTTAAATTCCCTTTTTATTTTCTTACAGTTGATTCAATCTGATGAACAACATTATTAAACTTCCTTAGTCCATGTGAATCGACCATACTTCTTTATATTAATTTATCTATTTATTTATTTATTTTCGAGTTAGAAATTGTTTTTATTTGGCAAAATTGACGCTTATCAAATATTCTAGGGGTACTGAGTTTCAACGCAAATAACCTTGCTATAATTAGGACAAAAGGAACCAAGTGTCCCAAGCGGTGTGGCAATTACTCTAACCCTTTCATGATGTTTGGTTAAAAATATTTTAAAGTATATCAATGTCAGAAACTAAGTTTCATAGAAACTTACATATTCACAAGTCCCCAGTTTCTCCATTGAATTTGGCCCCTGTTCAGAAGATTGTATATTAGGTATATATCATAATATAGGTATTTTCCAACTGCACAGAATTTTTACTTGGTCATATTTAGCACAAACATTGTGGAAAATGCTCTTACTTGAGCTCCAGTTGAATCAAAAAGCAATGAGACAGAGACTGAACAATTGTGCTCTTTTCCACTGCTTGACATTCTAACAATGACACCTTTGAAAGGATTCAGCTTGTCTGTCATGTATAAGGTTGTAGAACAGTCACTACCACCAAACTGCATTTATACACAAAATAGCAAATCGACTTTGTCCTCATAGCATGGCACCATGGACAGAGTAAGCAACCAAACACACAAAGGGAAACTGCCACTAAAAGCTATGTTTGTTAAATATGCATCCAAGGCTTAGCCATAGAAAGAATGGCCACTTAGAGAGGCAAAGTTAGTCTTATTTACTAAGGTATGGGTCATATTAGAAAGACGCCTAGTAATAAGAGGTATGTTTCACTTGCCAAGGATGCTAACATCTGTGCTTGAAACATGTCCAATAGTAGTACACACGTGATAATTCTTTTTCTTTCAGAATAGTACTCAATTATAACTAGTAAACAAAGGAAGACTAACTAAGTTCAAGAAAATCAGCAAAAATATTTAACCTCCAGAACGTTCAGACACCAGTGCACTACATTCCGTTCCACAATGTGATGGGCCTCCACAGTCCTAGAAATATCATAAGATAATCAAATAAAAGAAGAGGAAAGCCCGTCAATGATGACCTGCATTGTATGTATTCTGGATCCTTCCATAGTCAGCATGTAAAAAATAAAACTCAGATAAATTAAAGAAGCAATTACCGAGCACTCAGCACATCTAGGTGGATCATGGTTAAAAATCATTCCACCACAAAGCTGCTCCATTGAGTCAATGAAAAGAAAGCCAATAAGAAATAAGCTAAATGTATAGGCAAAGACATCATATACTTTCTTGAATAGACTATAGCTTCTGCTCATTAGTTACAAGTTCTTGAGAGTAAACAACCAACAGGTATTTAAAAGCATACTTTAGTAGTGATTAACCACATCAGAATCCACATAAAAAGTTCATACTTCAAAGGAAAACCTAAAGAAAGCAATGCTTCTTAAAACAAAGTAATAAAATGTAACCTGATGGAGCCAACCTGAAACCAGAGCACAGTATCATTCACTGACACCTTGTAAAACCTAGAATAGTTAAACAAAACAAAAAATGATTCAATAAAAATGGAAGCCGATCTAATTGAGATATGTAGGCTTCCAATCAAACATAGATAATGTGCAATGCAAAACAATTTCCAAAACAACAAAATTTTCACACTCCAAACAGGTCTAAAGTAATTAAACTAATCAAACACGCATATAAGCGTAATAATAGTGCCGAACCAACTATGACTGGATGCAACTCAGGCAAACACATCAAATTCATAATTAACTTCAAATAGAATACCAAACTTTAATCAAATCGCAGATTAGGAATTCCACTCCTTGGTAAGCTAAATTATACCAAGTTGCACCGAACAAATAAAATGAAATACTCTAAATTAGTATAGTACATACATAAAAAAGGAATTACCAAAATTCTCAACAACACCTACACTAAAAACGAGCAATATGTATCTATGTATATATAACACAGCATTTTCTACCTAAATTCAATTTAAAAAGTAATTTAATATAAATGGGAGATACTTAGATCAGGGGAAAAGAGAGGGAATTTTGTGAGTTACCCGTCTTCGCATGAGGACGCCGTGAGGGAAACTAGGCAGAGGAGAAGCCAAGGTAAAGTTGTAGAGCTTGTAGCTGTCAATGAAGCTGTGCTCGCATATCCCGAAGACTGGGTTAACTCGAAGTTGAATCGTCAAGAGAAAAATTACGAGAAGAAGCAATCTCCGAGATTCATTTCCCATTATCATTTTATTAGCTCAAAAAATATTATTAATTCTCTAGTTTCTTTGACTCCTGAATTTCCTCCGATTTTGTGTAGTTTTTAAGCTATTTATCGTCGATGAAATTCAAGAAGAAGAAAAAAAGAACACTAGAGAGGGAAACGAAAACAAAGCAGGACCGAAGGAGACAAGCAGGAATGAAGCTTCTTCGCTGCAACTAAGAGGAAATTTAAACTTTGAGTTAATTGCTCAATCTCACCTAATAGTTTTTATTAATTATAATTTGACCCTTTATTTAAGTAATCTAGATGTGGCCACCAATCCAAAGCTTTATCACTATCAGCCCAGCTCTGAGCAGAGAAACGACGTAGTTTTGAGGTTCTATTTGAAAACACTAAACCATTACTTGAATGAATATTTGTGATGGAATCTTTGATAATTATTTGTGGGAAGTATTGTCATTTGATTCACCATTCATTTCAAGAACATATGTCTACTTTCTGCTATATATATAAAAACTTTTATGTACGTTGCGGGAGGAGTTCCGAAGCAGTCGGCAATGGTTACGGTAGATACAAAGTCAGGATTCGGAAGGGGAAGATATGGTGGTGGAGGATGGGGTGTACGTTTCGTGCTTTATCCGACATGTAGGCAGTTTTGATACTATTGCATTACTGCAGAAAGCAATTCTTCAGTTGTTACTTGCTTTATTTTCTTTATGATTAGGATATCGTTGGTTCCTCTGCTTAATAAACAGAGAAGCATAGCTAGAATCACAGACAGTTGGATGATACGGTCTGGCTTTTGCAGTTGGGGAGGTCTTGTCCCCATATCATGGGGACTCTCGTACAAAACTATCCAAACCCATTATCATTTGATTCAAATTTCCTTTACTTGTGTCCAAGTTACTGCAAAATAATCAATTTATCGTATGTGCATTCCTCGTCTGCATAAATATACTCCGTAAGCTTTTTTGGATAAATGTCTTGTATGTTATCGAAGAAGATAGCAGTCGGATGAACTTCTGCCCAAATCCATCGAACATTAATGGTACATAGATCAATAGCAGGCACAAAAAGAGGTCAAACCTCAGACCTAAGGCTCGACATCTTCATTACACTCATACTAGCATTGACCTTGCTTTCAGGCTGCATAAATCAACCCCTTTAAAGACATAAGTTCTGATCCAAGCCGCCCGTAATGAGCCAGCACCAGCCTAGAAGTTACGAATGAGCACTAGAATACAAGCCTTGTTCTACCCCTGAATTTTCAATTACTCCCAGATCCCCTCAGATTTAGGGAAGTAAACTACCTATTTAGGCCTTCAAATTTTGATTTATTTTGATTTTGCACCCCAGCTTTTATTGTTAACTATACTTTGTCCCCTTTGAACTAAAATCCTGACTCCGTCCCTACCTATATACATTGTAAGCTATCTTGACTTATTGCTTTACATTGTAAGATATCGTCGAGTCCGAAAATGTGACTGATAATGGTAGTGTCCGATAACCCTTTGGTTCAGGTAACTCTCAAGTGGGCCTTTCTTTCGAATTCTCTCGTAAAACAGAAGGGAAAAAGAAGTTTCTTGCTGCATCTCGGGGTAGAAACCGACTTTCAAGCGAATTTTGGGAAGTTATCGTGCCGCATCGACTTATAACACTCGACAATGCTAAGGATGGGTCATACAAGAGGTTAGCATGGATATACATTGACAGAAATCCATGACGTATGCTACAAGCAACAGCCTGAAACTACAAATGCACCACAATACTTTGCCTGCTCCTACTTCTTAAGATTTCAACTTGGGACAAGAATACCGAGTTCCCTCCATCTTAGACAATAATTGATACCTATATTTCGAGATAAATCAAATTTAAACAATTATATATGATGTCGATATAATATAAGTGTCCAATCCAATTTATATATACCTCTCAGAGACGTTCCTAAACTTGAGACTCTTAAACTTAATCTGAAAGCTTACTGCCATGTCATAATCATTTTCATTATTCAACTGATTAATGAAAATAAATTCCTTCATTATAATTTATAAATTCTAATACTTTTTCTTATAAAATAAATTCAAACGAAATATATAAAATTATTTATTCATGATTGGAGAAAATTTATTACAGAAGTAATGGGAAAATGTATGTGAACATGGAATTTATTAAAGCAGAAAAGCCCCCATAATCTTTTTTTAACATTCAAGTGATGATTGAGTCCCCCTCCCCATCACAATCACTTTGGCCTTTTGCATATTTAAGCAAAGTGCTTTTAAAAATATATTCTAATTCCATGACTTAGAACGAGATAAAAAGAGAGAATATTGTTTAAAAATCAAACAAATCTAACCTAAAACAAGGAAAAATAAACCAAAATCTTATCTTGGTCCTATTTTCCCTTTAATATTAGAATTTGATGATGGTTTAAATTCGGTTCTTAACTTTAAATTTTTAATCTTTTAATAGCATGATAATCACAATTTATGTGATGATATTAAAAACAAGGGTAAAGTACACAAATGATTCTCCGATTATAGAATATTGTTTTATTAAGTCTCTTGACTATTGAAAGTTACAAAATAGTCCTCTGACTAGAGAGTGTTGCTTTGTTGAGTCCCTCGACTATTAAAAGTTACAAAAATGGTCATGACTATTCATTATGTTTCAAACTCGACCTTTTCTGTTAAAAAATTTACGGTTTTCTGAATCTGATGACTGTGATATGATAAAATATGATCCTAGAATCTCATATGACTATCATATCCTAGTCATCATGTTAATGTCCAGCTTAGACATCCGTCAATTTTTAACGGAAAAGGATGAGTTTAAAACATAATGAATACTTGGGTGACCATTTTGTAACTTTTAATGGTCAAAGGACTTAACAAAGAAACATTCTATAGTTAGTGGATCATTTTATAACTTTTAATAACCGGGAGACTTAATAAAACAATACTCTATAGTCGGAGACCATTTGTGTACTTTACCCTATAAATAAATACATTAAAAAATTATAAAAGTTTGAATTCACATATCATAATAAATATGGAATCAATAAATATTTAAAAGAATCATGGATGTTCTTCCAACCGTATCTCATTATGTCCGGGATGGATCGAGGGGAGGGTGGGGCCGAGGGAAATTTTAAAATTATTAAAAGAATTTAGATTTTTCTATATATTTTATATTAAAAGGTTATTTTCACCTCTAAAATTTTATAAGCTCAAATCGTCCTTGATTATGTCTCATATAAATAAGCTGAAATCACATATTATCGTCTAATGTCCTTACCAATGAAGTTTCTTCTTCAACTTAGAATTTGACTGTCCCCATGCAGCTGTAAGATCTCATAGAATTGACGAGAGAAGCTTCATGTATTAAGACACATTCAATCAAATTTTATAGCTATGAGCATATTCATCTCATGTAGGTTAGGTTGTCATTTTCTATCTCTAGATTCTTCATATATCATCTCCACATGACCTTATTTTATTTTTATTATTTGTTTTGTATGAACATGTGACCCTATTTGTACATGAATATCAATTACCATTATGAGCATATCATATTTATAATTAACTAGAATTTTTACTTATGATTTTATTCATCATTTTCATGTTGTAAAACAAATATAGAGACCATAACATAAAACGTAATCAATTGTGGTAAGGTACGAGGATCTTGTTAATAATTATTTAGTGGAAGGAGTGAGTTTTACATGGTATGAACTCTTAATTTAGATGTATGAAGGGAATTTAAAAAAAAGTTTATGAAGTGTCATTCGTTGATCAATTAGTTGAACCCCTAGCGTCAACATTATCCTTGAATCAAGATTTTTGTCTTTTGTACTTCATCTAGAGCACCTCGGATTCGAGGGAGATACGACCATATTTACAAAATGATTACCTATATCTCTTTGGTCTTTCAATCAAAAAGTTAACATAAGCTGTATAATTGTATGTAGATGTGCAACATGGTTTGCACCATCTCGACTGGGATCACTGATGGGCTACAATCTTAAGTCTTCGATCCGAGATTTTTCACATCCATCACATATTTTAATTTTATTTCTTCAGCAAATAAATTGTACGGTAATTTTTTAAAACCGAATCAAACATATTTCGAATTACAAACTTAAACAAAAATATTTTCACCATGGAACTGCTCCTTTGACAAAGAGTTGTGCTAATACACACATCTTGAAAGAATGAATTGTCTGCTAAAATGGATGTATTAGCAGACTACCCTTGGACTTGTCAAACGTTTGTTAATTTCAGTAGCTGCTGCCATGAAGTGAAGACCGAAGAGGACTTTGGTTTGCCTTAATTCCTCTCTCATGTGCAGAAGCTTGCTAGATTATCAGTTTATAAACGATGGAACCCATCACGTTTTCATAGTATAATATACTTTTGATTTGTTCATAGACCGAACCAATATCAAAACTGTGTAATAGGTTCTCATTCAGTTATGAGTCAGTTTGCATGAGTTAGTTAGTGTTAGGTTGTTAAGCTTCGGTTATGAATCAGTTAGGCTTCTGTTATAGTTGGTTATCCATGTACATAGAGCTATAATTAAGCTCAGTTGTAACAGAAGAGATTAGATCAATTTTAAAGGTTTAGAGAGCCTATTCTCTCTTATTTTGTTTCTTTACTCTTGTGTTGTAGCTTTACTATTCTTGACATGGTATCATTCGCCAATCCTGGTGGTTGTTTCTTCCGCTGTTAAACCAATTTCTTGATTCATCTTGCTCATCATGGTTGATCTAACTGTAGATCCGGTTCGAGCCTCTGAAAATGTGTCATCGAATACCTCTCCCGTGAGCTCCATGTCAGTTCCGTTAGGAATTAATGGGATTCAACATATCCCTAAGCATGACACTGTCAAGCTTACCGAGAGCACCTATCTTCTTTGGAAACATCAAGTTGCGTTGATAGTTGATGGATATGGGTTAACAAATTTTCTTTCCAGAGATGCAGTTGTACCAGATGAATATGTTGTAAATGTGTCTGGACATACTGAGGTTAATCCGGCTTTTCTGATTCATAGGCAGCAAGACAAACTACTAGCCTTTTGGTTGCTTACCACGATTGGGACTGAGGTTCTTCCTCACCTCACTGGCCTCACAACAACCTTCACCATATGGTCTACCATTTCTCGGTTGTTTGAT